AAAAAAAAAAAAAGAACCAGCACACTGTACCCCATGACTGCATTAATGCACACAGCTATGATTTAGTAAAAATCAATAAATAAAGTCCTATGGTGAAAAATTAACACAGATAAGAAAACAACCTTAATACTTTCCATTAATTTGTCCAATAGCTAGTGAGTGACTACCATAAAGGACAAGGAACAAGACTAGGTGCCAGGGATAAACAACAGGTCAAAGGCCATTCTCGCTCTTGAACAACTCAGTCGAGGGGACAACTAACTGCAGTGCAATGTAAGATTCTAACAGAAGTGGGAGCAAAGTGTTGTGGAAATTGTGGATATGTTGATACCCCTGGAGTTTCTAATGGGCTACATTTCCCCTTGAGTGTAGTCTCTTGTGTCTAAACCAAAACTGGGGATTCTTATGACCCAACCCACAGAGCTCTTTTTTATTTCACCTTTCCATTTTTTCCTCCCAGAGACAGAAAAAGATAGTAGCAGTCTTCACAACATGTCTTAGTAATCAATCTTCTACCATCTAAAACTGAGCTTACCTTCTGATGATTGAGAGCTACAAGGGAAAAATGACGCTTCTCTCATCTCACTGTGCCTCCTGGAATTAAAAAAACCCCACAGGTCATTTATTTTCTAAGGTGAAGGACGCTGTTAAAACAACTACATGCCCCCTGCCTAACATTATTGTATTATTTTTAAAAACTGTTACTAAATTGTAATTATTCTGTATAATTTGTCCCTTTTTGGATATATGGGGCTATGTTTTATACAAACATATCTCTAATATCAACACCAGAGATCAAGGTATTGATGTGTGAAGTATCAGGGCATTTAACGCTCTATTCCTCTATAAAGTACATGTTCACACAAAAACTGAATTATCAGTGTACTAATGATAAGAAGGCAAGGATTATTGGGATGGGTGATGAGGAATATTGGAAATACTAAACCTTTTATGGCTTGTGTTTTTTACTCCATATTGTTTATAAGGAAACAGAATGGGTTTGATGAAATAGCAATTTTAAAGCTAAACTTAAAGAAAAACAATAGGCTCGGCGCCTGTGGCTCAAGTGGCTAAGGCACCAGCCACATACACCCAAGGTGGCAGGTTCGAATCCAGCCTGGGCCTGCCAAACAACAATGACA